GCTCGTCCATCGCTTGTTTGCCGGCGTCGAAGCCGCCTGGCTGACGCTGTGCATTCGGGAGTCTGTGGGGAGGGGACATTGAAGGGGGGCGGTGGAGGGGGCGTGATCGGAGCTGGCCCGAGCCACTGAGCCCTGTGCTTGTGTTTAGGTCTCCGTGATAAAGGTTAAGATCCACGAGGCCACCGGGATGCCGGCGGGGAAACAGAAGCTGCAATACGAGGTGAGCATTAACTTCCCCGGATTCCTTTTATACTTGAGCCTGCCCTGTTTCTGGGGGTAGAAGTAGCACCTGGGGAGGCCTGGGTGTTTATGGGGGTACCAAATAGCAGCTGCTTCGGAGCCACGCTGCTTCGTATTCTTGTGTGCGCAAAACGAGACAGTCCCCATGGCTTTCGTCCAAAGACCACGTGTGTGAGGAACGACCGGGTTTGCCCGTGAAAATCGCACCTTTTGCACGTTTGTAGGTGCGGGACATCAAAATAGCAAAGCGCTCCAGGGAAGCAAAGTATAATCAAGTGCCAAGTCGGGTGTTAAAGCCCTCGTAAACCAGCCGGAAAGGAACACATCTCTGCCAATTTTGGCGTTTCCTGCCTAGGTTGCTGAGCTGATTAAAAACGAGGGGGAAATAAAACAAAAACTCTTTTAATAACGGCACAGATGTAGTCCGGCACACACACAGGCATGCGCACTTAAAACCAGGTGAGATTTCGGCTCTGATCCTCCAAAGAATTCGCTTTGGGGCCAAACCCCGGCTTGTTAAAGGTGAAAAAGACTAAACTCGTTTTCTCTGCAACATGGTAATACTGGGACCGCGCTGAACCAGAAATCTTATCACTCGGCTCCTCTACATCTGTCTCCAGTGTTTCTTAAACTGTTCTGCGGCACACCGGAGGTTTTTTTTTTAGTTTTTTTTTCTCAACAGAAAAATCCTTGGTATGTCTCATAAAAAAAAAAAATGGTTGGTGTTTCTCGGTCTTAAAAAGTTTAAAAAACACTGCTGTACATAAAAAAAAATTGTTGGTGTTTCTCGGTCTTAAAACGTTTAAAAAACACTGCTGTACATAAAAAAAAATTGTTGGCGTTTCTCGGTCTTGAAACGTTTAAAAAACACTGCTGTACATAAAAAAAAATTGTTGGTGTTTCTCGGTCTTGAAACGTTTAAAAAACGCTGCTGTACATAAAAAAAAATTGTTGGTGTTTCTCGGTCTTGAAACGTTTAAAAAACGCTGCTGTACATAAAAAAAAATTGTTGGTGTTTCTCGGTCTTGAAACGTTTAAAAAACGCTGCTGTACATAAAAAAAAATTGTTGGTGTTTCTCGGTCTTGAAACGTTTAAAAAACGCTGCTGTACATAAAAAAAAATTGTTGGTGTTTCTCGGTCTTGAAACGTTTAAAAAACGCTGCTGTACATAAAAAAAAATTGTTGGTGTTTCTCGGTCTTGAAACGTTTAAAAAACGCTGCTGTACATAAAAAAAAATTGTTGGTGTTTCTCGGTCTTGAAACGTTTAAAAAACGCTGCTGTACATAAAAAAAAATTGTTGGTGTTTCTCGGTCTTGAAACGTTTAAAAAACGCTGCTGTACATAAAAAAAAATTGTTGGTGTTTCTCGGTCTTAAAACGTTTAAAAAACACTGCTGTACATAAAAAAAAATTGTTGGTGTTTCTCGGTCTTAAAACGTTTAAAAAACACTGCTGTACATAAAAAAAAATTGTTGGCGTTTCTCGGTCTTGAAACGTTTAAAAAACACTGCTGTACATAAAAAAAAATTGTTGGTGTTTCTCGGTCTTAAAACGTTTAAAAAACACTGCTGTACACCGAGCCATTTGGGTCCCTCCGAGTTTAGCGGGAAACTTCCTGATTGGGGGGACTTTCTCGAAGCCAACCTCCCGTGGTGTCTTTCGCAGGGCATTTTCATCAAGGATTCCAACTCTCTGGCGTACTACAACATGATAAACGGCGCCGTGATCCACTTGGCGCTCAAAGAAAGAGGCGGCCGGAAGAAGTAGGCGTTCCGCCCTTCGTGTGCGCCCCACGACGAGAATCTTGCCACGTCTGGAGACCCCGACAAGCAGAAACATCAACCGGTGATGCTTACCAATCCTCGCTTGGGAACTAGTGATTATTTTCGTCCTGTTTCAGTCAGACTAGGACAGGGCGGGGCGAGAACTTGTATCACCCAGACAAAACTCTATAAATGTTGTGATTTGGCGGTAATTTCTGCAGCGCTTGTAGTATGTGTGACGCTGTTCTTCATTCTCTCTTTTTCCATATAATTCCCTACAGCAGTAACGGCAGCATTTCGGTTATTTCAGCAGCGCTTGTAGTATGTGACACGCTGTTTTTCATGCTCTCTTTTTCCATATAATTCCCTACAGCAGCAACGGCAGCATTTCGGTTAAGAAGTCCGGTCTCGATCGGACTTTAAAACCATCCTCGTTTTGCGATGCTCCAGGGAATATCGCCTGCTTGACTAAAATGCTCGCCTTTTCGCCGACCCGTTTTTGTAATCGAGAAGTCCTTTATTTAGTGTAGTAACCCCCTTAGTTTTCTGTGACATGTACATGCCAGACTCTGCTGCCGTGATTATTTTAGGATTTTAGCCTTCTTTGGATCGACTTCTCCGTTGCCTTTGATTGAGGCTTTGAGATTGTGTCTTTCTGATCATCCTGTACAGCGTGTGACTTGTTTTAATAAAGTTCGAATCGCAGTGGGGAATCGCATGGTGGTAGACCTGTATATCGACGCTTACACAACTCCGGAGCACTCACGCCCCTCTCCCTGGTTCAAACCCAGCTCGCGTATTTCACGTTACAGGCTCAACCTCGCTGGTCCGGCAACATCCGTGATGTTAGTTCTCCGGGCGGCCTCGTATAGGGGTGGCCAAGTTTCCCGGGGTCCCATAAGGGTTGTTTACCGCCAGCAGACCTGGCTGGCTGTGTTCTGTGCCGCGATTTCGCTCTAATTTACCCCCCAATGTCTTCTAACAGCTCAGTAACAGTGTTGTTAATATTGTCTAGCAGCATTGCTGTCCTGGGGTCCGGCAAATTCTCTGGTTCGGCACCAGTCAGCTCCCGAGGGTGCCGGAATTCCCACCTCTTGTTATCGTTTTTTTTTTGTTACAAATTCTGGGTTAAGTATCCGAGGGGTCGCCGTGTTAGTCTGGATCTGCAAAAGCGACAAGGATTCCTGGGGCACCTTAGCGCACTTACATCTGGGACTCCTTGTCGCAAATTCTGGGCTCTCGTTCTTTCCGGTCCAGCTCAGTGGAGGACGTGGGTTTTGCTCACTCCCACCTCTTGTTATCGTTTTTTTTTTGTTACAAATTCTGGGTTAAGTATCCGAGGGGTCGCCGTGTTAGTCTGGATCTGCAAAAGCGACAAGGATTCCTGGGGCACCTTAGCGCACTTACATCTGGGACTCCTTGTCGCAAATTCTGGGCTCTCGTTCTTTCCGGTCCAGCTCAGTGGAGGACGTGGGTTTTGCTCACCCAGGCTCATGCTACTATCGATATTTTTGATAGTCTCGAAGCTGTCGCCGGACTGCTCGGTATTTTTTAAGAAAACACGTTCCCCCGCCCAACTGCACCGTCAGTGGAGGGCAGGGAGGGA